CAGCCATGTTAAAGAAGTCATACCTGTTTTCTCACATCTTTGTCTCTTCCATATTTCTCCATGTGGCATCATTCAGCTGGATTCAGTTATCAGCTGTGTTATTGAATTCTAGTTCTCTATGCAAGAGTGACAGAAAATCAACACAACACAGTTCTGAAACATTTGAGCTATACTAGTGCTGAACATGTTCATCAAGCAAGAAACATCAATAATAGTTGTAGGGTTTTTTGACTTAAACTGTGTTCTGGAGGTTTTTCTTCCTAATTTTTTACGAGTCTCTGTGGTTGGCATCTTCAGAGGACAGGAGTTAGAACTCTGTGTTCTGGTGTAGTGTGAGGGATAGTTGATTATTTGTAGCTGTGAGATCAATTTTTTGTTCTTTTCAGGAGATTGGGTGATTATGGTGATCAGAGTGTTGTTTGTTGTGGGTGTATTATGATAAGGGGGAGATGATCCGTCACTGTGACTGATGGGTGTTGTTAGCTAGTTTTTTGTGTGCAGTGATCACTGGTCCTTGTGGCTGGATAGACTTCGTTGACCTTTTTGCAAGCTGTATTTTTCATTGCTGAGAGCCAGGCTTTGTTGAGTTTTAGACTTTCTCTTTTTTTGTTGAAGCTCTGCTGATGTTTGTGGATTTCAATGGCTTCCTTGAACTAACATGATTGCTGGTGTTGTCCAGAACTTCGGTGTCTTGAAATAGAATTTCAAGTCCAGCTTGTTTCAGGGCATGTTCAGCTACTGCCAATTTTTCTGGTTGTTTTAGTCTGCAGTGTCTTTCATATTCTTTGATTCTGGTGTGGATGCTGCATTTTATGGTCCCAATATATACCTGGCCACAACTGCAAGATATCTGATATACTCCTGCAGTGGTGAGGGGGTCGCTTTAGTCCTTTGCTGACCAGAGACTGGCAAAATGTTAGGAAGGAAAACCTCCAGAACATGGTCAAGCAGCCCGAAAAACCTACAACAGTCATCGGATCCTGGCCATGAAAGCCTTTGAGAATACATTAAATATCAGTAATGTCTGCATTTATTTTACACTGAATGTTTTATTTCCTTTGCCAGTATTTCTACCATTTAGACAATTGGTATAGTAATCAGTAAAAATGGACGTTACAGATAATTTGCCTTTAGAAGTGGGGATTCCTTAACTTCTGAAAAGTGTCTGACTTGACAGCATGATTTTGTTTTTACTCTGTGCAATTTGCTTGATTTTATTATTGGTCTTCAAAACTTAATCATGGAATTGTTTACAAATCTGATTTCTAAAATTAAAGACTTCTGCATCCATATGCTTCAACAGTAACACATTTTCAGCTCCAGTCATGGGCTATCTATGTTCTATGTCAGCACAGGACCTAAAATAACTCCTAGATCAAACAATCAAGGCAAGAAGCTGCTTTAATCTGGGGTGAGCAAATAGTGAGGTCTCAAAATAACAATGCTGTATTGATAAGGGCTCACACTATCACCTTAGCTGCAAATGTGGCTAGGCTTGAAAGTAGCAGCTGGGAGCCTGGCATTTAATGCCGCTCAGGCCAAGGGCCCATCTAGTCCAGCTTTCTGTATCTCACAGTGGCCCCACCAGATGCCTCTGGGAGCACACAAGACAACTAGATGCCTGTCTCCTGATACCACTCCTCTGTATCTGGCATTTTGAAGTACCTTCCTTTTAAACCTGGCGATTATACCTGCAATGAACTTTTCCTCCAGAAATCTGTCAAATTCCTAGACCCTTTGTCCAAGACCTGTTGAAATGGGTTGCCACCATTAGCTAGATGTATAGAGAATTTTTGATTTCACACCCACCACTATTTTCAACCCTGCTATTGCTAATGAACTCAAAGATCTTACATATGCTTTGTGGGGGGAATTTATGTGAATCTTTCATTTCAACAGTAGAAGTGTGTGCTTGACTTTCTGGCTGTTTTCCATGTCTTGTTTTTCACAGACTTTGAGGGAAACTGTTTCTTCAATGCATTAAATATCTAGAGGTTTTCTAGAGAAACATCCATGAAAGATCTTTGCTGGGTTTGCACAGAATATGGGACATGAGAAAATGTGGCTCAGATACTCATTTTGCAATGGTTTACAGTTTCATGGAGGTGCCCCAGGCCAGCCTTGCCACTGGACAAAGTGACAGCAGCCATCTTGGACAGCAGATTTAGGGTGTCATGAAAGGACCATAAATTGTTAGTTACTACATTTCTGATTGCTACTACTGTATTTTCACTGCTAGGATGGGGGTGGGGAAGATACCCGAGAGATTTTCTGCACTCTGGAGGAGAGACATCATCTGCTATCACCTCAGGAAGCAAACTGCCTTGAGCTGTTTTTAACATGCAATCATATAACCTCAGAGTATACACCACTGAGTTTCAGAGTAACTTCTGAGGAAACGTGTATAGGATCCTGTAGTTAGATAACACAACTAATAGCTAAATTTGGGGGGGGGGGGCTTCGTTCCATGCCAGAGTCAGGTCATCAATTTCTTTCATATCCTTTTCCTCTTAGCTCAGTTAGTTGAGTACCTGGCTTGTGGAGCAAGAGGTCAGGAGGATTCTGGGAGAAGAGCCAACCCATGTAGCCTTGAGCAAGGAACACAGTCCCAACTGGCCCCAGAAGAAGAAAAATGACAAACCATTTCTCAGTATTCTCTCCCTAGAAAACCTGGAAAGGGTCATCATAAGTCAGAATTGAATTAACATTTATTATTATTATTATTNNTTATTATTATTATTATTATTATTATTATTATTATTATTATTATTATTATTATTATTATTATTATTATTATTATTATTATTATTTAAACACCAGGCATCATGATGATGATGATGATGATGATGTAGTCTTCCCAAAGGTTGGACTAAATGGCCCTAGAGCCTCTCAGAGTCTCTATATAAGCAGAAAAATGAGAATGCCAGGATCACAATGGAGTAAACAGCATAAAACAGCAGCACCCAAAGCTGTGCTGGCAGATGCATTCTGCAAACTGGTGTCTCTGCATTGCAGATCCAATACAGAATCCGAAGGAAAAACAGAATAGTTATTGCATTTTCAATAGGAAAGGACAGTCTTCCTTAGAAAAGAGCACAATCAAGCCCTCATCAATCCGATTTAATCACGTCATATTAAAGGTGATTATCATTGTTTTTCAATAGGCACAAAATAACTCTTAGGTGGAGTCAGACAAAGGGCACATAGTAGAACCTCTGTAGATTCTCAAGAAATTTTTACAACCTTGGTGGGACACACATGATTGAATACTGACACAACATCATATAGCTCTTAATAGGATTTAGATTTTGTCTTTTAATCCACCTCAACCATTTGATCTTTGCCTACTCTTTCTTTATCAGCATAAAACATTGAGAGTCAACGCTGTATGCCTTCTCATTATCCGCCCTGTAAAACTGCTCAGAAATGTGATCAGGCCCAATTAATGTTTCCGTAACGTCATGGGCCTCTTGGCAATATGCTTTGTACTTTCCTGCATGTTTTCCAGGGCAGCATCCAGGCTTTTCCAGGCCAGATGGGGGATAGGGATGTGATTCTAGATAAACAAGCTCACAGCAGGAAGGTAAGCATAGTTATCATAGACAGTAAGCAAAAACCTATTATGAGGTCTGATCTTTCTGTACTCAAAAAAGAATAGCCTACATACACACATGTATGACACCACTGGGAGATCCTAAGCTTTATAAATATATCAAACTAGAGGAGAGTATTTAGAGGAAACTTATGAGGGAACAGCCCAGTGAAGACTGAGTGTGCTCAATAGTCACCAAACATTGTGTATGTATTGCTGGAGAGGGAGTAGAAAACTCTGAGAAAAAGAATAGAATATCCTAGAAAGGGGTATTACTGATGTGCTGGAACCTTGAACACAGGGTAATGTAATAATGCAATATTCAATGCAGCATTATTTGTAGAACGAAATGCATGCCATCATTTTTTTGTCTTCTTACAACAATAAGTTAAGCTGAGAATTACTCATTTTTCTATGGAACTTCCAGATTGAATGAGACTTTGATACAAAGTTTCCCAGGATCTAGTCCAACACTATCAAAGAATCACAAGAGCTGTAAGATCATCTAACATAACCTTGGTCAGGGTAAGCTCATCCTGCACTGCAGGATGCATTTATGGCAGTCCAACAAGGGGTTCTTCCAACCCGTATTAAATATCAGGAAAACCCACCAACTCCCAAGGAAGTTGTTCTTTTTTTAGAAGCCTGCTTTTCTGAAACTGCCACCCATTTAGTCCAGCCCTGCTCTCAAGAACGAAAGACCACAGATGGTCCAGCTTCTGCACAGCAGCCCTCCAGATCCCTGAAGACCGCTAGGCTTGGAAAAGTTGCTTTGTTTTGGACTGCAACTCCCAGAATTCCTCGTCCCCGTTGGCGACAGACTTCTGGGAATTGCAGTCCAAACAAACACATCAGGTTGTCCCAAACTCTGCAGCACTGTTAGAGGAGAAGCATATCTAGACTATGATTCCCGGAGGAGGAAGGCAGGGGCTGAATCCCCTCCGTTTGCCCTTCATCCTTTGCTCCGCTCCTCAGAAAACAGCCTTCGGCGCAGGATGCTCCTCTGGAAAGAAGCTCGTCCTTGAATTTCTCCTTCAAAGCCCACCCCACGGACGACGGGGCACGGCAGTCAGGTGAGGCGGCTTGCCCTCCGGCTGGCTTGAGAGGGCGGCCCGGGCGGCCTACCTGTGCGTGGGCGGAGCTCCGGCCGGCTGCACCTGTCCGCCGGGGCCCCGCCCTTCCTTCTGGGCGCCGCCGCAACGCGCTCGCCTCCTGGGCTACCTTGCGCGTCTGGGCGACGAAGCGAGCGGGCGCGCCTCGCACG